ACGATGCGCAAAACTCCGCATTTGAACAGTCAATAGCAAATACTTAAACTAATAACAGAACAGTAGCTGATTCAGAAGCGCCAGATTGTCATAGCAAAGTTGCTGACATTTCTGAGCATTTACCCTGTGTTGTATACCTGTTGATTACCTGGACTGTTTACCCGTTTACGATTGCTTGCTGCCTACCTATTCTGACCCTGCCTGCCTTGTTGATTCATGCCATTGATTGTCTGCCGCCTGCCTCGACCCTTATTACGAACACTGTTTACGATTCTGCCCAGCCTTCATTGTCTCTAACGCCAGTTAACGATTTATGCCTGTTTGACCTGCCTTGTGAACTAATAAAGCTGCACATGGATCCTAACGCCACTGCCTCTTTGTTACACTCATACTCTTAACCAGATATATTTCTCATTCACCATGTTGTGCAACGCATGTGTTCCACAGACACAACTGTGCCCTTTTGAATGCTCATTTCTTGACTGGCAAGGGTACACTGCTGAGTGACATTATAATTGAGAGAAATCTGGATTTACTATTTCCATATGATCTAAAAGTAGCTGCCATCACCCCAATCCTAAAGAACCCTAGGGCCTCATTTATAAAACTTTACATGGAACTCATCCCAAAAGGGTACATATGCACGAAAGCTAGATTCTGTGTACGCACAAACATTTTCAGATTTATAAAACCATGCGTACACCAGAACCTGCGCAAAATCCCTTTATAAATCCCTGTCAGGAGAAGATTGTGCATACATGCATCTCCACCGACCGACCGAAATCACCATATATAGAGCTTACAACGCCTAGTTTTACTATGCATAACCTCATCTGCATATCATTTCCATGCATATTCCCATCCATGTGACACCATGTTTAACACGGTCAAAGATAAAAGACATTAAGGAAATATGAGATACGGACTATAAATACCATTTGTGCCATACATTAATTTCTATTTCTAAAAATCATCCAATATCCTTGTTATGTTTTAGAATAAATATAAAGATAAAAACAAAAACTGTTTAAAATAGTAATCAGATAAATATTTTAGAAATAGAGTTGATCTCATTCTTTAACACTGGCCAAATAGTAGTCCATTTCAATTGTTTTAAACAATTCAAATCAAACTAAATGTATGCAGTTTTGCTGATAAGGTGAATATCTTTTAGCTATTTTGAGTGGAAACAGATAGGCCTATTTATTGCAGTGTAAAATTGTCTGACTCGGCGCGTCACTAACAAAGTATTTAAAAAAGGAAACGTATAAATCTTACCGTTTACTTCAAGTTGTAGCCTTCAAATACAGCAGTACTTTTCGTAATGTTGTGGAGATGACTACATCAACACCTCTGTGCAGCTGCGGTTAACAGTAAGATATTATGATTGGACCTATATCGAAGTAAGTGCGCATCATTGATCATTGTTCTCGCTGAAAAATATTTTCTCATAACATGAGATCTGCACTTCAGATTAATTATTGTGCACCTATAGCACTCCTCGCTGTCAATAAAAGAGGAAAAGTGATCAAGCGCATTTACTACAAATGTCTTAATTCATTTAATTTTGGTGCAAGAATTGAGCCTTGTGGGACTCCACATGTCATGGATGTCCACTTAGACTTATGCTCTCCTATACTCACATAATAACCTCTCCCTTCTAAGTATGACCTGAACCATTTGATTACCATCCCAGAAAGCCTGACCCAGTTTTCCAGTCTCTCTAGAAGTATGTTATGATCGACTGTGTCAAACGCAGCACTGAGATCTAGTAGTACCAGCACTGATATTTTGCCAGAATCAGAAGTTAAGCAAATATCATTTATTATCTTAATGAGCACTGTCTCTGTGCGGTGATGCGGTCGGAAACCAGATTGAAAATTGTCCAGGTATCCATTTGAGTTTCAGTATTTGTTCAGCTGATTAAAGACTACCTTTTCAATAATCTTTCCTATAAAAGGAAGATTTGATATTGGTCTATAGTTGGTGTGGTGTTATTAAGATTGCTCTTTTTCAGAAGGGGTTTAACAACTGCAGTTTTCAGGGAGTTTGGAAAAGTCCCAGAAAGAAGTGAGGCGTTCACCACCTAAGAGATCTGCTTCTAAACAGTTAAGCACACTTTTTTTTTTAAATATGTGGGAAGTGTGTCAAGACGATTTAAGGTGCTGTACTATTTCTTCCAAAATTTTGCTATCAATTTCTTCAAAAGCAGACATAGTATCTTCTTTTTGATATTGCGGTCGAATCAGTCTGACCTCTGCATAACTTGGGGATGTGCTAATCGCCTTCATGATATTATTGATCTTCTCAGAAAAGAAGGAAGCAAACTCATTGCATTTGCTGTCGGAGAGCATTTCACTGGCAATCTGACTTGGGGGGTTTGTCAGTCTCTCAACAGTAGCAAAAAGAGTGTGAGTGTTGTTTAAGTTACTGTTTATTGGGTTTGAGAAGAATGACTGTCTAGCTTTGCCTAGTTCTACATTGAAAGCACAAAGGCTGTCTTTATAGATGCTATAATGGATTTCAAGTTTCGTCTTCCACCACATCTGCTCAGCTTTTCTGCATTGTCTTTTCATACTCTGTACTGCTGTTGATTTTCTCCAAGCTGATTTTTGTCTGCCAGTCTTCCTGCTGACTTTCACAGGAGCACTATCATCAATAACATTCTTAACTTTTGAGTTAAAGGAATCAAGGAGAAGATTAACAGAGTCTGCAGAAATGCTTGGTGTTTAAGATATAGCCTCCATAAATAGCACACTAATGTTTTCATTAATGCATCTCTTTCTGACAGAGACAGATCTAGATTCAGTGGTAGCAGAGATCAATATGTCAAAGAAAATACAGAAGTAGACAGTGCTACATCCTTAATAACAATGGATGAAATGTTTAGACCCCTACTGAGGAGTAAATCTAAAGTATGTCCACGATTGTGTGTAGGTTCATGCACATGCTGAATCAGGTCAAATGTGTTTAAAACAGTTATAATTTATTTTGCAGTTTTGTTTTCTGCATTATCTATGTGAATATTAAAATCCACTGCAATAGCAAAAAAAGACCAACTCTGAGGAAATCATTGATAGCATTTCTGTGAACTCTTCAACAAAGGCAGGAGAGTATTTTGGAGGCCTGTAAATAATGATAAACAGAATGCGTGGAGCACCTTCAGCACAATCCCTATATATTCAAAAGACAAGTACTGACCAAATGATATTTGCTTGCATTGATAGAGATCTTTAAATAGAGCAGCTACACTTCCACCTCTCCTAACAGTCCTGCAAACACTCATGAAAGTAAAGTTAGGAGGGGTTGTTTCATTGAGGACTGTTGCACTGCAGCTGTCTTCTAGCCATGTTTCATTTAGAAACATAAAATCCAGATTGTTTGTGGTTAAGTCATTGAATAGAAATGATTTATTTTTTAGTGCGCGAATGTTTAAACAATTGATGGCATTGCATATTGTCTCAACAGCAATATTAGTTTGATGCATAACAGGCCGCAGATTAGATGAGTCAGCTGTACGGCTTGAGAAGGCCTTAGACTTTCTATCACGTGATAAAACAGAAATAGAGAAAACTACAGGCACACTGGGTTCCCGATTGTTCTGTAAACAGTTGTGAATGTTGCTGCTATTATAGCGGGGACCCGACACCTATCACTGAGAGCTGCTATCAGTTTTTTTTGGTTCACCTACAGCAGATGGAGGGTTTGGGCCCTAGCGTTGTGGCAGCCGCCAGAGAGCTCTCGCAGGAGGAGGAGGACGAGCTGGGGAGAAGTAGATATTGTCCTTTAGCACTCTTGCACTAAGTTTGTTTGGGTGGAGGCCATCCAGTTTAAACAGTTGTCTATGGCCCCAGAAAAGATTGAAGTTGTTGATGAAATTGACTCCTTTTAAGCTGCAGATTCTTTGTAACCATGTGTTCAGCCCAAGCAAACGTGAAAACATAGTTCCCCTTGCTGGGAATGGTCCACTGATGAACAACTGAACTTTAAGTCTTCAAAGTGTTTCAAAAAGTTCACTGAAGTCCTTCTTAAGGAGTTCTGACTGCTCTTTCCGAATATCATTCTTCCCCACATGGATGATGATTCTATAAGTGTCCGCTCCTCCTGAGCGCCATCCTGTTCCTGTGCTCAGTCTAGAGGGGGCTTCCGCTCCAGAGTTAAGCCCTGAATGCCTGGAGACGCACAAATGCCCGCCCTCCCACCCGCTCCTTCCTCCTCCACCGCTGTCATCTGGCAGCACCTCTGCTCGCCCTCAGCCCACCATCATTACGGTGTGAGTGCCGTGGGTCTGCCATCCTCCAGCATCGCCATGGCTGGAGAATCCCTCACCTCCAGCCTCCGAGGCCCGGACTCCAGCTTGGCCCGTAGACCCAGCAGCTCCACCTCGGCTCCTAGCTCCCTCACCTCCACCGTCACCCGACGATCCACCAGCTCCACTGGGCTCCCTCGTCCCTCCGGCCCCGCCTTGGTCGGGCGTTGACCCGCCATCGCCTCAGGACTTCGCTCCTCCAGCTGCACCTCGTTGCTTTGTCCCACCGGCTCTATTGGTTTCCTTCCTCCTGCCAGCTCCACCTTGGTCCTCAGT